ATAAAATATAAAATAGGTTTAGTTTAACTAAAATTTACGCAGAGGGTTGGGCACAACGGTTTTTATTTCCATGTGCCCCGCAGTCTATCGTCGGACTGCTTTTTAGATTTTGTTTTCAATTTTTTTTCCAGTTGGTTGTACCCTAAGTTTAAGGCATGCAAAGAGCGTTGTGAGGTCCCCATCCTCGGACAACCTTTCTGGTATTATATTTTTACTATTATAGCGGAACATATTCCAAGAAATGGATTATCACTATTATAGCAAATTACATTTTATTATTATTATAGCAAATTACATATTTTTACTATTATAGCAAATTACATATTTGTACCCTCAGTTTAGGGCATGCAAAGGCTTTGGCTTAGGCTATACTAGTAAAAATATGTTCCTCTATAATAGCCAAAGTCGAGAAAAATATGTTCTGCTATAATAGTAAAAAAATAGTCAGTCCAAGGATGGCGAACTTGAAGCACATTTGGACTTGGCCTTGCTTAGGCATTGCTTTAAACCTTAGGGCATAACTCTACAATCAAAAAAATTGAAAAAAAAAAAACTAAAGCGGTCCAAAAATAGCATACTCGGACCAATGGGCAATATGGAAAAAAAATAAAAAACCTCGAGGACCGAACCTTTGTGTAATTTATGGCTAAGTTGGATCTACTTTTTATTTTAGGGTGTAGTTTTTCTAAAGTTGCAACCCTAAACAATCCAATTAAGGCACAAATTTATCATAACATATAATTTTGCTTTAAGAAATTCTTAGGATTATCTGAAAACTTATTTTCATATCTAATTATAAAATTTTAAACTTCAAAAAAGATTAGAATTTCTAATCAAGTAGATCTATAAACATAAGAAAATTTTGAGAATGAACGGTCTAGATAATACATTGCAAGATACGATATTTTTAGGACTGAATTTTTTTTTTTTTCATATTCACGCATCTTGATATCGAAATGATCAATTAGAATTTTTCAACATTAAAACGACATTTTCATATGGATTTTTGGAATGCATCTTCACGTCTATATTTTAAAATTACAACCTTATATAAACTTTTTCCACTTTTGTCATATCAGTAAATTTCTCACATCCTACCTACCCCAACTACTGCAATTTGGTATTGGTATTGCCTTTGCAACATTTTGTATGTTTCCCACGTTCTCTTCATGTTCAATAGCACATGTTTCCTATGTTATCATCTGCATCATTTCAACCCTTCTCTCGTTTCCTTTTGATAGGGGAAAATGGTTCGATGGAGCAGTGGCTCTATTAAAATAAGCAAAACCTCATTTTATAACTTATCGAAAATTACAATTCAAACATTGAAAAACTTTTATGTCAATCATCTCGCCATGAACATAATGGTTATGAAAAAAAATTAAGATTTTAAGCTCTAAAAATAATATATATTATAACAAATTATCAAGACCGTCATTTCACTATAAAATAATTGTTATAGGTCCACAAGATCTGTACCATTATCTAAATTTCAAAATTTATTATTGTTGTTGGAAATTGATTTTAGATCTATCATGGAGTTTTCCCTTGCCGATACTGCTTTCTAGATGAGGATTTGTGGTGAGGCTTTATTTTGTTTTCATAAAGCCTAGGCTTTATAGAATCTTCTAATGGGAAATGACCTCTACCCCCCTCCTCGAAATTTCCATCCCTATTAGGGCTTTGGGTTCACCAAAATCCCTTGTACCCCCTCAAGTTTAAAATTTTGAAACCATTAGCCCCCAACTATGTTTTCCTTTGTTCTTTTTACAAATTTGAGTTTTTGTTTTGCAAAATGCCAAACCCATACATTAGTCATCTTTTTTTTTTGTGTGACTTGATATTCAAATTTTATTGATAACAACAACAACAACAACAACAACAACATCATCATCATCATCAACAACAACAATAAAAATATATTAATTGTTAAATAATTAATCTCTTATAGGTATTTTGATAAAATTATTTAATAAATAAATAATTAAATAATAATAATTCATTAACAATAGTAATAAAGATCTTGATTAATCATTTTTCAAGTTCAAAAGATATTGATGCAATTGTAAAATAGGTAATAATATTAAAAAAATTTCATTTTTTTTTCAAGTCAAAATTTGTAGAGTGGGGTCATAGACGTAAGACTGGTTTTGGGCAATGAAAGAGAAAGAGAAGGGAGTTGAAAAATGGAGGAGTTTGGTATTTTGTAAAATAAAAACATCAAATTTATAAAACAAAAAAAAAAAATACAATTGGATCTAACGATACCAAAGTTTAAAACTTGAGGGAATAAAATAGATTTTGGTGAATCGGGCTATTAGAGAAGAAATTTTTGAGAAGGGTTAGAAGTCAATGTAATAAGAGTACCTGAGTACAACTTCGATTCTCTCTCTTCCGGATTTTCTCTATAAATACAGCCACACAACACACTGAAACTGAAGGCCCCTCTATCTCAGCTTGGTATCCCTCTCTCAACCCTAACAGCAATGGCAACCACCCCACGCTTCCTCCTCCTCTTAACCATCTCTCTCTCTGTTCTCCTTCCTTCGTTTGCCGACAATGCCCGATGCCTTGCCAATCCTAGTGAGAAGAATATTCTGCACTCCGGATGCCGTCTTAATACAGGAGAATCCCTTAAAGAAACTACAGCATTGTAATGCAAGGGGACTGCAACCTCGTCCGCAAACGCGGGCCACAACCTATATGGGCTTCACAGACTCACCACAGAGGCATCAATTGCTATTGCATACTGCATACGGATGGTGAAATGGCCGTTTTTAATGGGAATGGTGTCCGTTTATGGCGCAGCCGTACATCGCGCGAAGAAGGTGACTATAAATTTGTTCTTCGATCAGATGGGGAAGGAGCCATTTATAGAGCTATATGGTACATAGGTATTAATAATTTGCCTTCAACTTTCGGGCTACCCCACGATCAGGAGTGATAACTGGTGCCGAAGGCAATGTATTGAGGGGTAGTAATGGAGCTCTTTCTATCACTGTATCTGTATGTGCACCTTGGGTAGTGCCAATAAATAAAATTGTGAGCTCTTCTCCTCACTACAGTTCTATGTGCACCTTTGATAATGCCAATGCATAAAATTGAGACTTCCCCTGATGAATTTTGAAGTGCAAGTAAAAGCATCATGATGAAAATGAGACACCACAATAATAAAAAGGAGTTAGAATCTTAAAAATAGTGTATGTTATAATATGTTATCTACAACATTTATTTTCAAGATTTATATATAATATAATAAATATATTATATATAATATATAGTATAATATAAAATATTTATATAGTATGTATAATATAATAATATGATATGATATATATATATATAAAGCTTGCGTAGGCCCACAATCCTATAGCTACATTTGAACCGAACGACCCAGATTCAATCTGGGCTGATCAATGATCGTGATTGCATTTCATATTTGAATCTTAATTTTTTTTATAAATCCAAATCACTTGAAATTTATAACGTGTAAAAATTTTACAAAGAAAAATGGAGAAAGATAGATGTCAGGTTGAGAGAGGAAGAGGGAGGGTAGAGAGAGAAAGAGAGATAAACTGGTAGAGTGAGAAAGTGAGAGAGGGCGAGTTGAGAGAGAAAGAGAGACTGGTCGAGTAGAGAGAGGTAGAGAGAAAGTGAGAGAGAGGGTGAGTAGAGAGAGAAAGAGAGAAAAAGAGAGGATGGATGGAGAGAAGAAGAGAGAAAGCTAGAGAGAAGGCTCGTAGAGAGAGAAAGAGAAAGCAAGTGTGTCATGTGATTAAATGAAAAAAGAGAAAAAAAAGGGAAAAGAGAAATATAAAATTAATATATTGAAAATGGGAAGAGAGAAAAAAAAAAAGCAATTTTATCCCAAAATCATGGACTATTTGATTGGGGGGGAAATACAAGAAAAGTTGGTGTTGGGGTTTAGGGTGTGAGAAAAAAAGTATTAGGGGTAAGATATATAGAAAGTTGATTTTGGGGGTATCTATAATTTGAAAAAATTATGTAAATATCTGTTTTAGTTTCCGTTATTACCAAAATACTGAATACTTTATGTTATTACTCATATGTCCGTTTTTTGAACTTCATAACAACTTTTTTTAAAAAAGATGAAATTACCCATTTTTCGGTTTTTCAAAAACCGAAAGCAGGCCAATTTTTATTTTTTAAAAACCAAAAATTTTAAAATTTTGGTTTTTCAAAAACCGCATTTCTTTATTTTTCAGTTTCATAGTAGTTCGAAAAAACTACCATCGGATTTGATCTTGGTTCCATCATGGGACTTGATATTGGTTCTATCTTTACATGGTGATTTGGGTAATCTGTCTTCATATCTCTAAGTGGTGGGGGAGCTATGTATCACTAACTGGTGATGGGTTATCTCTCTCCATATTACTAACCGGTGAGGCAATCAGACTTGATGGTTCTATCTCCATATCTCTAACTGGTGAGGGAAGTCTTGTGCATATTTTCTAGTGTTTTTATGATAGAAGCTCAAGGTTTCCTCTCTTTTACATGTCTTGCAGCCCTGGGTAGCATTTCAGGCTTTCTCTCTTTACAAACTCCACACGAATTAGCTCCTTTGATGCATATATTTAAATCCTCACTTCGCTTTCTCTCTCACAGCAGGCGTAAAAATTTTGGTTTTTGAAAAATCAAAATTTTAACGTTTTTGGTCCTTGAAAAGCCTAAATTTTAAACTTTTCGGTTTTTTACAAATCGAAATTGACTTGATTTTGATTTTTAAAAACCGAGAATGGATAGTTTCTTATTTTTTTTAAATTTTTTTTATAAAATCCAAAAAAACAATCGCGTACTTAATAACGAAAAATATTCGATATTTTAATAATAACAAAAACTAAAATGAATACTTACGTAATTTTCCCCTATAATTTTTTCTAACATGACACAGTCAGCATACATACAGTGTACGCATGTTTAGTATGCATCACTCGTGCAGACCCGAAAAAACATTCCGTTCGAATTTGGTGCGAGGGGCTGAAACCAAATAAAAGGGCCCCCCTCACAAAACCCTCGATACTCTCCATCAGTGCCCTATCTGCCTCACGAAGCCTCTCTCGCCATTCTCTCTCACCCTCGTCTCTCACAGACCACATTCTCAAGCCTCATAGTAAGCACCTCATCTTCTTCAAGCGAGCTTCTATTTTGCAAGCTTTCATCTTCTTCAACAAGGTAAGGCTTGTGTTCTTTTATTTTTTTTACTGGTTTTTCTTCGTCATAGTGTAAAGATTCTTCACCAAACAAGGTAGGGTTTCCCTTAGAACCCTCTTACAAGGTACCTCATCTTCTTCAACAAGGGTATGGGATTTATTATTGTGATTTTTCTGGTTTTTCCCTCTAGATGGTGCTGGTTTGTTTAATTACCAATACAAACATTTTTTTTTATGCGATTTCCCCATGGAGATTTGTTACTTTTTTTTTTGTGTTTGGCTTATTTTATGGAGTATAGGAGCGCAATTTGCTATGTAGAAAAATGTGGGTATGGGTTTCCTTTTGTTGTATTTTTATTTTTATATTTCTTACTGGTTTTTTGTGTTGTATAGAAGCACAATTTGCGCTGTATAGTACCCATGTGAAAGCCTTTTTAGTGAGAGAGAGAGAGACAGAGAGACAGTGTGAGAGCGACTCCCATGGCTTCTGCAATTTATGGAACAAAAGCTCATTCCAAGTCCGCCATTTTTTTGAAGCTCGAAGCTATCTTTTCTTCGCCATAGCCTTTGTTCTAAAAGCATGCAAGTCAATTTCATGTCCTTTTGGTTATGAATTTTATACCTTAAAACTTTGACTTTGAAATTTTAGTGCAGTCAATCGTTTTCAGCAATATCAGTGAGATCCTCATTTCGTATAGAGCAAATTGTCATAAACTAATTAGTTTATAGTCTTTCTATTTTTGAGGGATTTCTGATAATTATAGCCTTGATTTATTTTTTTTATTTGAGGGATTTCAAAAAATTTATTAATTTTGAAGTTTGAAAATTTGATGAGTTTTGATGCGAAGGCCCCAGCAGAGAGTTTAAAATGCTCTCAATATTTGAAGTTTGAAAATTTGATGAGTTTAAAATGCTCTCTTCTCTTTGATAAAATTTAATTATTACGTTAAATTTCACTTTCAATATTTTCTTTTGATTGATATCATGTTCTCCAATAGAAAAAGTAATGAAATTGCATTTCAGATTAAGTTCACACTCTTCCCTGTTATTTGTGACTGATTGCTTAGACATTATATATGTTATGGGTATCTATGATTAGTGTTGGGAGAATGTTCCATGCAGCTATCGTTTGGTCGCGCTGATTATGCCTTTGATAACAGCTGTTAGATATATGTTTAGACATTGTAGGTTCCATTTTGAATATTGTTAATAGCTTGCACTAGGAGGAAGTATATCTTTCATCCAGTATGTTCCACTTCATCCTTGTTGTTCCTGGGGAAGGTGTTAGGGCCCCATCCTATGTAGGTTACTTTGGTAATATTTGAAAAGGGATGCTGAACTTTGTTTATATCTTTCATCGTTAGGGCTTCATCCTATGTACGTTACTTTTGTAATATTTGAAAAGGGATGCTGAGCTTTTTTTTTTGATAATGAGGGATGCTAACTTAGTTGGCATGATTCTTGTTAATAATAATGGTTGCCATCTGTGGTTTAAAAAACGGATCGGTGCCTCGGATCGGGCATCCCAAAAACCCATCTAGATCGGTGAATCGGCACTTCAGTGCGGGAATCGTTAGAATCGGTCAAAGTCGTCCTTAAAATAAATTCAAAAAAATTATTAAAAATCATTATAAATGTTGTTTTTGAGGAATCCAATAAGAAACGAGGGTACTACATTAATAATTTGTATTTTTTTGCGTCAACATGTAAATATTGAGATGTTCTTTCCCTGTATGAAGATTCTCATCAAACATTTATTAAAACCTAACTAAATACAATACTATCAAAGATAGGCAAAACCTTGATGGGGCTTTAGTGGCACACGAGTGCCTACATTTCAGGCACTTGTCCAAGAAGGCAGGTCTCATTTTCAAAATTGATTGGGAAAAAGCGTATGACCACATTGATTGGTTATTGCTGGAAGAGACAATGGCAAGAATGGGATTTGGGGACCTCTGGAGAAAGTGGATGAGAGGCTACTTTTCTCATCCCCACTTCTCGGTCCTTCTTAACGGAACACCTAAAGGGTTCTTTCCTTCCTTGAGGGGGCTTCGCCAAGGGGACCCTTTGTCCCCATTTCTCTTTGCCATAGCTGCAGAAGTCTTTAGTCACTCAATCGCGTGAATGTACCAGGAAGGCCTCCTCACTGCCTTTAAATGCAGTCCACAAGGCCCAAAGGTGTCTCATCTGCAATACGCAGATGACACTTTGGCGTTCTTAGATGCCTCCCCAGAAGAAATTGAAATTCTGAGGCTTTTTCTCAAATGCTTCGAGACAGCTACATGCTTCAAGGTCAATATGGATAAATCAAAGATGATGGGGGTGGGACTTACAAACGACAAAATCAGGGCACTCATCCCAAATTGGGAATGTAAAGTGGAGGATTTCCCCACCACATACTTGGGTATACCATTGGGATTGAGAAAGCCTAAAAAGAGACAATGGTCCCAAGTCATAGACAAAGTGGACAGGTGTCTGACAGGTTGGAAAGGGAGATACCTCTCCCTGGCTGGCCTCACTACGCCGGTCAAAGCAACACTTGCTAATGCTCCGGTGTACTTAATGTCTATCTTCCACTTGCCAGCCTCGGTGGCCAACCTTCTAGAGCAGCTAATGAGGAATTTCCTCTGGTCTGGACAGGCCGAAAAAGCCAGACATCACCTTATCTCTTGGGACAAAGTCCGACTACCCAAGTCTCAAGGAGGGCTAGGGATCAGGGACCTAAGAAAACACAACCTGGCTCTACTAGGGAAATGATGGTGGCGCTTAGCCACCCAGACTAATTCCCTCTGGGCTCAGGTTATGCACAACAAATACAAGATCCCGGAACAAACTTGGGTGCCTGAAAGGATTTTCTCGAGTAGGGCCTCACGAGGATGGAAGTCCTTTGCCTCCTCTTTCTCACTGTTCAAACAAACCATCCGATTTCATCCTAGAGAAGGTACAAGAGTGCGCTTTTGGTCTGACCTCTAGATAGGACACTTCTCTAAGGGACCTCTTCCCATCCCTCTATCATCTTACCTTTAACAAAGACTCTACCGTAGCAGAAGAAATGGTCCTGTCAAGAGGCCGAAGAGTTTGGAACCCCTCTTTCAGAAGAAACCTCACTGAAGAGGAAACTAGACTCTTCCTCTCACTTTCGGCAGCTTGCACCCCTACTTCCTAACTCCACTTGGGAGGGACTCTCAAGTCTGGACCCTTACTCCATTTGGTACCTTCTCAGTGGCCTCATTCTATAAAGGACTCATTCAACCCCCCACCTTCCCACTTAATCCTATTTCTGTCCTTTCCAAGGTCTGGTCCACTATAGCTCCTCCAAAAGTACAAACTTTCAATTGGATTACTTGTTCTCGATGGGCTCTCACAGTTGACCAGCTTCAAAAGAAAGGGATTCCGGTGCCCAACAGATGTGTAGTGTGCATGAGTGAGGAGGAATCGAATCCACACCTTTTCATTTACTGTAGTCTCGCTTATGACCTGTGGAGCCAAGTACTATAGTTGCTCCGCCTTCAATGGGTCACTCCACCCTCGGTCAAGGTGCTTATCTCATCCTACTACGCCTGTCATTGGCTGAAGGCTGGTAGAGCATTGTGTAAGGCTGCCATTGCAGCTACCATTTGGGTCATTTGGTTAGAAAGGAATGCAAGGGTCTTCCAAGGTCACAAAAGCGTAGTTTCGGTGCTCGTCCACAAGGTTACGACCCTAGTAACTTTCTAGGCATCTAACCGCATGGCCTTCTCGAGGATTTCTGTTGACGCCTTTCTCAGCCAATGGGAAAATATCCTATATCTCCAGCCACAGAAGCTTCAAAGACCCAACAACTGGCTGCCGACTCCAGAAGGCGCCATTAAGCTTAATTTCGATGGTTGTTCATTGGGGAACCCTGGCCTTGCTGGCGTTGGAGGTGTTTTTCGAGACCATCATCGCAATATTCTCTTCACGTATTCCAAACACTTGGGCCATGAAGACTCTCAGTACACTGAAGCCATGGCTCTTCTCATGGGTCTTAAAAGCTTTAACCATTCATGGGGCTCACAATTGCGGTGGAAGGAGACGCCCAAACTATCATCTCTTGGGCAGCAGGCACTTCACCACATCCACGATACCTCTCCTCGATTTTTGATGAGATTGCTAACATATGCAGGGATATGAATGTCTTATAGAAGCATATTTGGCGGACATCCAACGAGTTCTCCGATCTTCTTGCAAAAGACGGAGCTAGGGCCCATGCTGAAGACCCCTCCTGGTCATTCTCCTTTTTTGCTCTGGACCACAGAGGGAGTTTAGGTGTTTAGTTGCACATATTTACAGATCTTGTAATCGGGCAAATCTATAAGCCTCAATTTTTTTGTAACTCACAAGTACATCTTTGTGTAATTTGGCAGGTTTAAAGGCCATTTTTTGTACAGGGTCTCTTGACCTATTTTTTGATCGAGAGACCCGACTTGTTGGTACTCTCGGACCCCTCTTTTGTACTCTAACACCATACATCAATACAAATGTTAACTTTCTCTAAAAAAAAATACAATATTAGACAATGAAATTAGAATTATTGGTTTGTATTTTATTATTTTATCATCATTTTACTATACAAATCAGAATAAATTTGAAATTTGTCTTATAATATCATCTAATTTAAAAATCTAATTTACAACTATAACAAAAAATAATACATTGCATAATTTATAATGTAAATAAATTAATAAATAAAATATAAGATTTGATTATCATTCTAATTAGTATAATTATTAATTATAATATTATAATAAACATGATTCAAAAAACAAGTGTATGACCTCACAAATAAACTAGTATATAATAATTAGTGTTGATAGAAATATAGAATTTTAGTAACATAAATTTGCAATCACATTTTAATAAAATTAAAAAAATAAATAGAGAAATTCATCTTTGCAATGTGGGATAATTGATAAAGCAACTTGAAATAAATTCTATAGTGGTATGAGCTAGTGTTATTTTTCTCTCTTAAAATATCCCATAAACTAGTATTTTTTTTTAATG